ACGTTTAAATATTAATTAAATTGTTTAACTAATCATTCAATATTATTTTAAATTAAAATTAATTGTTGAATTTAAATGGAGAAAGTGTTGACTTTACTTAAATGGAAAAATCCATGTTTGGGTTAGTGAAATTTTGAGTGTCAAAATTTGGTTTAACCAAACTTGCTTGATTTCCTAGGTTTGAGGATGAGGTGCTCTCTCATATCTACATGTACCACTCGTACAACCCAGCTAGAATTAGTCACTGCATGGTCGACATCCTTCTACAGGACGGATCCATCATGCAGGCGACTTTGACCCACTCGCATGATCAACATCTTACCATGAGATGGATCCCCATGCAGAGTAGTCGATCTACCACTAAGTAACATTTCCCGAACAGGTGTTTCACCAAGCTCAACAGTACCACACTAGAGTAGGAAGGGAAGAGTAACATCTTCCTAACTAGCGTCTAGCCTTGCTCAACGGTACCACACCGGAGTAGGAAGGGGAGGGTAACATCTCCCTAACTGGCGTCTCGCCTAGCTCAACAGTACCACACTAGAGTAGGAAGGGAAGCAGAGTATACTCGAATTCTATACCAGATACTGTTGGCTAAGGGATCATCTCTCTACACCTCGAGGTCCTAATGTGGTTCTCTATATGTCAAGGGTAGTTAAAACTATTGAGTTAGGGCCCTGGCTTCCAGATTCACTAAATCAAGTCTCCCAAGTCCATCACAGTCTATAGGGTTAAAGGGTCTCTCCCTCTAAGCGTCGCTCATGACACTATAGACCGTAACATCGGGAGGGTCCCCTAACTAAACCCAACTCATTCCCTACAAGAGTTCACCTTAGGCATATCACAACACTACAGCTTATCAATTATATCATAAGTTCACACAATCATTCAAGAGGAGTTCATGTATGATTAATAATGCATACAATCGTACAAGCTCAACGGGGCGGTAACATCCATCAACACCCGGAGCGCCTCAATCCCTACAAGAGTTCACCCTAGGCATATCACAGCACTACAACTTATCAATCATATCATAAGTTCACACAATCATTCAAGAGGAGTTTATGTATGATTAACAACGCATACAATCATACAAGCTCAACGGGGCGGTAACATCCATCAACACCCGGAGTGCAGATACACAAATTCCCCCGTTCGCCAACATAGTATGAAGAGATAGAAGCAGTAGTAAGATAGTTCAGCAAGCATACAAACATCGAGTACAAAATCTCACTAGGGCAACAAGTCCAACAGATATATATTTAATTCTCTAAGTATAGAGGATCATTAGATCTAGCCACCTACGGGTAATTTTCTCTAGCATGCATGCAAAACTAAGCGCACCCTACAAGTATTACTTCTTAAATTCGTATGGTTACTTACAAGTATGTCGCGTGCCTTCCCGAGCTTGATTACAAGCGTAACGGAGTCCAAAATTACAAATTATCTATTTAGACACCTAGTTCAAAGTAAAATAGGATTAGCACTGGAATCGGGATGAAAAACTAGTGAAAACAAGACACTCACGCGCCTACACGCGCTTACAGGGGACTCCCTCGTGCCTGCACACTTACCCATGTGCGGGCTCCACGCGCAGGGCGAACGCGCGGTCAACGTGGGCAACGCGTGGGCAGAGGCACGTTTCGAACCCCAGTAGACGTAGACTTACCCCTCGAATTTTCTGGGCGTGACACGCGTCGTACAGGGATTGGTGGAAGGTTTTCGGGTTGGACCGCGGGTCGTCGGACGCGTGTCAGCAGAGGCGTCAGACGCGTCTCTCCACCAATTGCTCGACGCGTGGCCTCCCTTTCCGGCAGCAGCGTGTCCGTCGGCGGTTGCCTGAGTTCATCCAATTTCCAGATTCCGGTTAAATTCTATATCATCCTATTTATTTTAGGTTTTTCTATCTTTCAAACCGTAACTCAAATTAAATCGATTCCTCCACAAGAATTCAAGATCTCAAGTCCTCCTATCCAGATATATTTTTATTGTATTTTTTTGATACTCACAACGCTTAATAAATGGAGTTGAAAACTGAGAAAATTTCAATTTCTTACCGAAGTAGGACAGTTTCTCAATTTTGTTTTCCGACGCAATTTTTGGCCGCGTTTCCTCTAAAAACTTGCAAGACACCTCACTTAAATTATTGCAACTAGATTATGAACGTCTAAATCATCTAAAACTCTCAGATCTATAGTGAAATCTTGAAACAAGAGAGGTCGCAGACTTACCTCGTGTTCTTGCCCGTTTCTTGCTGGAAACAAACGATCCAACGCTCAGACCACTCCTTTTGATACTCTGATTAGCCCTAGTAGGAGACCTAATATTGAGAGTGCTTCAGTTTGGGTTTGGGCATTTCTCCCTCCTTTCTCTTCTTAAAAAACCCTAACTCTTCCATTCTCTTTCTCTCTCTATTATTTATTATTATTTTCTTTTCTTTTCTTTTCCTTCTCTTTTCCTTTCTTCCAAGTCTCCCGACCTCCCTCAAGGTGGTATGTGTGGGGCAAAATTACTTTTTTACCCCAATTGACTTTGATCCAAAATTCGATTACATTATCATTTTTTTAAATTTATTTTCCTAAGTTCCTTGATGCATCCCGAGCATTTCATTCTTCTGGACCGATATGAAAATCACACTCTAAGTCCTCCAATAAAATCTAGAAACTCCCAATGGATAAGAAGGTGCTAGTCACAAGAATAGAGCGAATTGTACCTATTGGGCTCGGGGTGTTACATAGACGATGATACATAAGGTGCCAAAGTGGACAAAGCGGACAATATCGACTAGCGACGAATTTGGATGTTTGAACATTCGACCAAGCCTTTTAAATTTTGATTTTGTTTTGATTCTCTCCTTCTTATTAACATATATATTTTTCTTCTTGTTTAACCTAAATAAAAAATTGATAAACATAGTTAAAAGAACCATTTATAACTCTAGTAATTAAGGAGAAAATATAGAAAATTCAACTTCTAGTTTGTGTTTAACCCAACTTTGTTTATCCATCTCCACCAAAAATAGCAAATAAAAAAGAATTGATATTTATAACTATGCAACAAGTATGATATCCAACCTCAAAACGTTCATAGAATTAATTTTTATAATAGATATTAACCTTAAATTACCTTCTCAAACGGCTTTAATAGCTGGTTCAAAACAAGTATTTATTTATTTATTTTTTTGCTATATAATGAACCAAAATCCAAATGATTAAACATCAACAAAATTAAATTTGAATATTTTAAAAAAATGAAGACTCTAACCGTCGACTATTGATTCAATTCCCAAAAACCTGACACCAGCAAGCAAGGGAAAGATAGTTGGCTAGGGTCTCTCTCGTAGTTTCGTTCTGACTTTCCTTTGGCAGAATGAAGTTACTTTGATTTCCTACTTTTCTTAGTCTTCCACTTCCTACCCCTACTCTTTGTAATTCTGTTTGCCAATGCATGCTTTTCTTTCTGGGCAAAACCATGCTAAGATCGCTTATTCACCATTTTGCATACCAATTTGCATCTTGCATGCCCTACCCTATATTAAGGGTATTAGAAAACACTAACGACATGAAATAAGAACTTTTTTAACAAAACGAATTGTGCCTCATCTTCCTTCTTCAAGACTCATTGGAAACAGCGGACCAAAAACAACCTTTCTCCTGGTGTGAGCTTCAAAAAGAATGGAAGTAGGATGCGCGTTCGTTCCTATCCCATTGGTCGAGCGTCTTCAACCCTCTCCCTTCCGGTCGAGCGCTTCGTTCCAGACTTGTAGCTTGGGTATTATCTTATTGTTTGCTTTAGAATCAAGCATTAATATTAACACATGTTTTGCAGGATCAAACGGACAAGCTGTAGGGAAAATTGGCATTTACCAGATCGCAAATGGCAAGTAAATATTGACAATTATAAAAAAAACTCAGTTTTAAATGCTCATTGCAAGTCAAAAGACAATGATTTGAACGAACGCATTTTGGACAAGCGAGCCAAATTCCACTGGAGGTTCGAACCGAACTTTTGGCATATGACTTTGTATAGTTCCAATTTTAACCGTTTGAATGGACATGCTTCATTTGAGTTATTTTGGCCAAAGACTCTCATTGGCTTTCTGAACGATGCAACCTTAAAAACTGCATTTGGGCAGCATTTGATGATGAATTTTACTTAAAAAATCTTCATTCGAGAAAGTTTGAATTGATACACCCTTAGAAAAAAAGAAGTAAAATCTCCCTCGTTCATTTTGGTCCCACAAAACCTATGGGGAGTTGTGGGGTTTCTTTAAAGACTTTAAGATGTTGCATATTTAAGTCTAATAAAAGTGGGAGGAATATTTTGGGAATTTATAGTTCTTTGGATGTTGATAATTTGGTTGGGCTTTAAATTTCTACTTGTATCAACCCATGTGCATGCTTTGGAACTCTGGATTCCGCCGTTAATGGCCTTGTAAGGTTATTTACTTGTCGCTTCTAAGAGTGGAAACTATCTCCACAGACAAACATGAGTCCTTCCAGCATGTCTTTTCCTCACTCACATGTTTACTACGAAAATTCTCAAGAGGTCTTCGAACATAAAATTGCTCCAAGAAAGACACAATTAATCCTGAAGTTCTTACGGCTAACCAAACAAAAAGGAAAGTGCATCTAGTTGATATAGGTAGTAAGTTTCAATTCTTTTTAAGCATTTCTTAGTCATCTATACGGTTAAGTATATTTAGTACAAAATTATAGTTTACCATATATATCATATGTGATATTTTACTCTTTTCATATCCTTGTAATTTATTTGATTATAAATAGATAACTTTCACACCATTTAAGTGCGGTGGATTAAGCAAACATTCTCATGGTATCAGATCCCTTTCTATTTAACAACCCATGTCCTCTCTTTTCAATGGCTTTTGAGTCCTCTATTGATCTTCCCCACCACCACTACTAGCTTTGACGCCACAGGGGCAGTCTCCATGGCTGCCATAGGTGGAGTCGATCGATTACCTTTTAACTTCACCCTTTTGACCTCCAAATCACCCTTTGCCATACTCTGTACATATAACCTCACCTTCTCCAACACAATCGGTTTCCCCTTAGCCAACATAGCCTCTCTCGTTTTCTACCCAATCAACCCTTCATCCTTCACAGAAACCCTAATCTTAAGATTCTCATTAGTGTTCTCTTTAGAAATATACGAAATCTCGATAAGCCAATCAACCTTCTACAGAGATTTACCTTTGGAATTTGGGAGTCGCACTGGCCTCTTCGCCAACCAAGTGTCGGCACCCTTCTCGCCAAAATTGGCTCATTCGTCCACTTTCGGGACTCTTCCAGCTTCAACACTGTCTTTGTCTCTTGCTCTAGGTTCCCCACTCTTCATTGATTAGACATATTCTCGCGGAAGCCAAGATAGCATTGTTGCTGAGCGACGATCCCTCTGCAATTTGCGAAGGCCAAGAAAGTGTTTCTCTATGCCTCCTCCGAATCAGGTTGTTTACATTTTCACGAAAAGTGTTTCTCGATCTCTCTTTGAATTTTTAGATCCAAGCTTCACGCTCGTTCAAATTTGACGCTAAGTTTGCCGAGGGGGTGTTAAGGATATTTAGTACTAAATTATAGTTTATCATATATATCATATTCGATATTTTATTATAAAAATTTTTCTTCTTATCATAGGAATCTTTCCATATCCTGTAATTTATTTGATTATAAATAGATAACTTTCACATCATTTAGGAGTGGTGGAATAGGCCAACATTCTCATATACTCTGGATCACTTTATCGGATATAATCTTGTTTCATTCATGTACTCTCTTTTACTCGGGTATGACTCTACTCAAAACCCTTTCAAGATTAAGGAATATTTCAAGTTTTAACATTGAAAGGGTAACAAATTAGAACAAAAAGAAAATTTGTATAATAATTGAAAATGGGAAGGTTAAAATCATAAAAGGGATATATGCAAAGAACTCAGGTCAATCTTCTTAAAAAAAAAATGATTCGCTCAAGGCCAAATTTTTAGTTGATCCATTTTTGTTTGATTCGCTCGGACTCTTTCCTCCTAATTTCAATTTTTAGAAAGCATTCAAAGTTAGCAGGGCTAGTTAAATATTTTTAATCGAGTTTAAATTATTTATGCATGATTTGACCTAGTTTAAATTGAGTAAGTTTCTATGCAGTATTAGGCTTAGTTTAAATTATTAGGAGTAAGTTTCTATGTATAATAGGGCTTAGTTAAAATTATTGGGAGTAAGTTTTTATGCATAATTAGACTTGGTTTAAATTATTAGAAGTAAGTTTTTACACCTAGGCTTAAGTTAAATTTTTTGAATCCAATTTAGATTATTTATGCGTAATTAGGCATAGTCAGTTTAAATCATTAGGAGTAAGTTTTTATGCATAATAAGATTTAGCTAGTTTATGCATTATGGAAACGTTATGTTGAAATCATGAAAATATTACGTTCTGTCTTGTGAATTGTATGTATAGAATGATATGAATGACATGAAGAACAATAAATAGCATGAAATATAACCCCGGTATAAGCATGAATGGCTGATACGATATGAATAAAATGAAAGCAGGGGTTATATTTAATAATGTTGAAAATGAAAAAATATTGGGACCTCATGCATTAATGTGTGCTCATGCATTCGGGGATACCCGTATTCCTTCATGATTGTATGGACGCGTACACCATTAGACAGGAGAACTATCATTACGTTTTACATAATATAGTTGTAACGACTACTACTTCTAATGGGTATCTGGCATAGAGAGCTACCAGAGCATGCTCGCCTAACAAGGAAAGGGGTCAAGGGTGTGCAAACAGACTGGTGGGTCCATACTCGCACATGTGAGTCATGTGTAGAGTATATGATACACATCCAAGCTGCCCATTAAGATAGTACTATAGGAAAATAAACTGTTATGATAGATGCCGTCATTGCATTCACAAGTTCTTGCATCAGAACCCAAATAGAAGGTCGCTTACTGAGTATTCTTAAAACGCTCAACCCTTGTGCTACTACATTTTTAACATAAAGGCAAGACACCCCTTGAATTTAAATATGTTCTTATCTTCTACATTTTATTGTCTTTACTTTGTGATATCACAGTCAACTGTACATGGATGCCTTGACTTTACCTGTAAAATAATCTAGCACACGGCCTCAGTATTTTGAAGAATGTGTAGTAAGTGTTCCATCTATAGGGGTCGTGAAGAAATGCAAACACATGTAACAATCCTTCGGACTAACTTGGATGAATAGTACTTCTTTACACACGACCCACACTTGCGATTGTTAATCCCTAGGCGGTTCGCACCCCTTGGACCCATCATCGTCGAGCTAGCTGTTTGTAGCAACATCTAAAGGTCAGTGAACCCCTGAGTGTCATACTCGACATCATCACCGTCATTATCGTAACATGCGGGGTTTTACTCGTCATCATAAAAGGGGAAGAATCTCAATGCTTATGTACATACAGAAATGCATGAAGTCCCTCTATTTCTCGTCCTTAAAACGCCTTTTTAACACAACCTTAGTTTCATCTCTATATTACTATTAGTAATACATGCGCATTAAACATTCATCTTTAACATCGTTGCTCATATTTTGTAGGGTTGAGTCCTAGGTCAAATTCTCGACATGATGCAAAATGGCATTCATAACATACATCTTACTTAACATAGAAAACATCATCATATTATGGTAACAATATCATGCATCATAATCAACAGATATCGCCATCATAATGCCAACAAATACATCATAATCATCATAGCATGTCATCAAACATCATCAAACATCATCGTATATCTCATACATGTCATCATACACCATATCTCATATAACATACGTCATACAGCAAACAAGTCTCTAGTCTATTCTATACTAAGGCCACTTACTTTATTGGCCTTAGCTGGCGTTCTCCCTAAATTATTATCGTTGGCTATTGTTCCTCAAAAGCTGCTCCAAAGTATTACCGAAAATCTTTTCCTATTAGATCGTTTGTCACCGTTCGTTAGTATTTCACAACTAATAATATTTATAATTGACATTTGTGAAATATGATATTAAAACGACATCGATTAGCTTACTTGAGATTAAAAACAGGTTTGGGAGGGTTAAAACGGTAGAAATTAGGTTGAAATTTGAGTACCAGACCCGAATAAGCCAAAGGGGTCGCGAACACCCAAGCCGAGCTGTCTAAGCTGACCAAGTCGAAGGAGTCGTTTGTAGGTGACTTCGATCATGGCGCAATACGAGGGCAACACGTGTGCACGTGACTTTGATCGAGGTGCAGGTCGAGGCATCAGTCACAAATCGTAGGCTGGGCTGCGATCACGGGTCGAGGCTTGAACAAATACTTGTATGCTTTCTAGATAAACATAGTGTGCCACATCTTATGGGCGAACACCACGATTGCTAGCTCCAAGAAGTTTCACAAGTTTTCTGGCAATGGAAGGACTGAAGCTGATACCAACATGTCCTTGAGTTCCATGAAGCTCTTTTCGCATGTCGATGTCCAAGTGAATATCTTACCCTTCTTGATGAGTTTGCTTAAAGGTGGTAATATTTTGGAGAATTTTTTTATAAATCTTCGGTAATAACCTGCCAGCCCTATGAAATTTCGGACTTCTATTTATAAATCTTATGTAATAACCTGCCAACCTTTGAATACGGCGTTAGTTAGTCTAGAGGACAACCGTGAATTTGTAGTGATCATACCTTATTCTGAAGGCAATCTTAGGTATGTCTTTCTCTTTGATTCTTAGTTGGTGATATATTGACCTTCATCTATCTTGGAGAATATTGAAACCCCTTAGAGTTGATCAAAAAGGTCGTCAATTCTTGGGAGTGGGTATTTGTTCTTTATCATAGCTTCATTGAGCTCCTGATAGTCTATAGGCAACCTTGAGGACCCATCTTTCTTTTTGACGAAGAGTACTGAGCTCCCACGGTGAGATACTTTGTCTTATGAACCGACACTCATCAATTGTATGACCACTTCTATTACAAGATTTTTCTTTGGTTCTAACTTGCTTTAGGTTCCAAGTTTTCTCTAATCAACTTGAACTCTTAAACATACCTAGGGCCATTTTGGTCATATAGACTTTGAATTTAAATAAGTAGTCCTAGGGCTATTTTGGTCATTTTACTTCTAATTCTTGGTTTTGCTACTTAACGTGTTCCAATGGGTTCCAAACTTCACACATCTTTAGACATCACAGAATAAGGTCTACCACATAATTTAATAGCATTTGGAGGTCCTCTAGGTCATGAACCGTGGGTAGATTTCCTTAGGCGCAATATGGCCATTTTGCACTATTTCTTGGTTTACCTACCTATCCTTATCCAATGACCACCAAATTTCATATATAATCTCTACATGGTATAATATGCTCAGCATTAAAATTTCATAGGTTGCAAAGTTCATCTAGTTTTCTATTTTAATGTTACTTAAATCTCGAGCAATTTGATCGATTCAGGGCTTAACTCATGGTTCTTTTAGTTTTTCTTTTATATATCTTTAATCCATACTTGGTTTAGGGTTCATGTAGAAAACCAAGTGATTCCAACTAGTATTTTTTAAGAAAAGTCCTAGGTGGCTACTTAACTCATCATTTGTGTTCGAGACTTCCGTTTTTTTAGCTTTCGGTTTCCAAATTATTCCAAATTATCTTTTCAAGATTCATCTTTGAGTCTAGTTTCAGTAACCATAAAGAAATTCATGAGAACCGATCTGAAAAGAGTCAAAATTGATAAAAAAAATAGTAGAAAGGTAACATATGGCTACCTTTGACTTCTATTGGTCAAAGTTTGACCTTTGACTTTGGACTTCATCTTCTTCCTTGGTTGTTGGAAAAATCACTATTTTTCCTTATCATACTCCTCAAGTTTTGCCTTTATACTACTCTATATACACCTCTAATAGGCTAAATTTCTTCACAAAATGTTTAGATGAAGTTTCAAGGAAGAAGTAGGGGTCAATTTCATACCTTGTCATGGTCTGTAGCTTGAGTTATGACCTTCCAAAGTTTGCCGGAAAACATGTTTCTCACCTTTTTTCGGGACAACTGATTCTAAAGCTTTTCATTGCTCGATTCCTTCACGAAACTTGTTGAAAATTCCATATGGAATGTGTAGGAGTTGGTAGGATGAAAAATGATTCACCACAACCCTCGAATTTAGAAGAAATATGAGGAAGAAAAATCCAAATCTAAAAGCTTCAAACTCGAATTTTAGGAATCATCACTTGGTTCTTGTCTTGAAACATTGCCAATAACTTCTTGTTTATAGATCAAGCTTGCACCACCATTGATTATTCTAGAATTATGGTGAATTTGCTCGTTTTTTATTTATCTAAAATTTTAGTGGAAATATCTAAAACGATGAAGGTGCTACCGACATTGGTTTTCAACTTTAACCGTTGGATCTACAGAACATTGAGTCTTGTTAGACATATCCAAATAGCAGCTCAATCCAACGATTGGATGTGAATATACGATTGATTTTCTTCTGTTGGACGGTTGAGGAACCAAATCTAGTAGTAGATTTTCTTTAATTGTAGTTTTATAATTAAGTGGAACTTTAGGGGTACTTTTGGTAATTTGTCACATTCATAATATTTTGTTATTATTTTTCTCGAAACATCCCTAAAGTTTCTTAAAATCCTTTATCCCTTAATTTGTCACATTCATTTTTCCTTCTCGACCATCTTCCATCTAGATAAGGAATTAAAAATAGAGAAAGATCCTTGGTAATTGAAGAAAATGATCTTTTTGCACTTTTCACTTACTTTTTCCTTTCCCATCTTTGTCCAAAGGCTTTCAAGTCTTAAAATTATATCTAACCCTATAGAAATGACTTGCTTAAGACTCTAGTAATTGCTTGATCCTCATAATTTATTTCCTTGAATCCTTTGGATCTTACATGGGCCGTTGTTCTTATTGGAGCTAATTTCCTTTTTTTTTTTTTTGTGTTATATCATAGGCTTCTCAAGTCGTATTTAACAACCACAGTTTTATACCTGATCCTAAGATGAATTGGTTAGCTCGTTACTAGTCTCTAGGTCGTACATCTACGTATCATGAATACATGATCCTAAGATGAATTGGTCCTCTCTTTCTTATAACATTTTCCATACTACACCAAACATAATTATTTGATTCATAAGCATCATAAACAAAACCTTAAACCAAACCACCACCAAGAGATCTAGATCAGCTAAATAAGGTTCATTCAAAACAACTCTTGTTTTTTTTTTTTTTTTATTTATTAAATGACGGAACAATTTGATAACTATTTGAACACCTCGTTTATTGTTCTTTCTAATCCAAAATGAATTAGAAATTTTGGAAACTTTAGGGTTTCAATTTCTTTTAAAAAATAACGAACCTTTAAATTGTTATTTTACCATCTATGATCGAGTTGCGAAATGCCTTATTATGGTAAGTCTGTATTTCCCTCCTCTAATATGTCATTTCTCAATGAAAATGTTTATATTATTACCTTATCATTTATGACATAATGTAAGGTGTCTTTTATATCATATATTTGTGTTATTATTTCCTTATAGAAACCCAACATTTTCCATCAATTTCTCCCAAAGTTGGAACTTCAATAAATGGGACTACTGCGCCGATGAGCCGTTGGAGCTTGTACACGACGATGACAAAAGCCGCTTCATGTGGCTTACCCTACTGCAAGCGAAAAGTGAGGCGGCAGAGGCGGTTAAGCGCATTAAAGCGCAAGCGGAGGTCGAATGTGAGAAGAAGATGCGAGTGTTGTGCACAGACCGAGGCGGAGAATTCACCTCGGCACGTTTCTGTAAGTACTGTGACGAGATCGATATACAATGGCACCTAACGGCGCTCTACTCCCCCCAACAGAACGTAGTGGTGGAGCGCCAAAATCAGACCATCGTCGAGACAGCGAGGTCATTGCTGGTGACGGCCGGGATGCCTGGGAGATTCTGGGGAGAGGTGATAATGACGACCGTCTATCTCCTCAATCAGTCACCAACCCGAAGCCTCGACGGGAAGACGTCATATGAGGCCTGGTACAACAAAAAGCCATGGATACATCATTTCCACGTCCTACCGCACCGATGAGCCGTTGGAGCTTGTACACGGCGATGACAAAAGCTGCTTCATGTGGCTGACCCTGCTGCAAGCGAAAAGTGAGGCAGAAGAGGTGGTTAAGCGCATTAAAGCGCAAGCAGAGGTCGAATGTGAGAAGAAGATGCGAGTGCTGTGCACAAATCGAGGCGAAGAATTTGTCTTGGTAAGTTTCGATAAGTACTGTGATGAGATCGGCATACAACGGCACCTAACGGTGCCCTACTCCTCCCAACAGAATGGAGTGGTGAAGTGCCAAAATCAGACCATCGTCAGGACAGCGAGGTCATTGCTAGTGACGGCCAGGATACTTGGGAGATTATGGGGAGAGGCGGTAATGACGACCGTCTATCTTCTCAATCGGTCACCAACCCGAAGCCTCGACGGGAAAACGCCATATGAGGCTTGGTACAACAAAAAGCCAGCGGTACATCATTTCTGCGTGTTCGGCTGCGTCGTATACATGAAGGTAACATGTCCCCACCTCGTCAAGCTCGATCCTAGGTGGCTGAAGGTCGTCTTCATCGGCTATGAACCCGGGAGCAAGGTGTACAGACTCTATGATCCTGTAGGGGGGCGAGAACACGTGTCTTGCGACGTTGTCTTCGATGAAAGCATCTTCTGGCAGTGGAATGACGTGATCGAGGCAGACCATAATCCAAATCAATTCACGGTGGAGTACCTCGTCACCGAGCCGGAAGAAGGAGGAGCTCAGAGGCTGGGGTGTAAGATATTGCGCAGGGAGAGAAAAGGAGAAACTCAAGCTGGTCAGCTACAGTGATAGTGACATGGCTGGTGACATTAATGATCATAAGAGCACCAGCGGAATGATCTACTTCCTCTCAGGCGGCGCGATCTGCTGGCAATCAATAAAACAGTAGGTAGTTGTTTTGTCTTCCTTCGAAGCAGAATACATCGCCGCTTCGATGGCAGCAACACAAGGGGTCTGGCTTGCGCGACTAATGGAAGAACTCATCGGGAGAGAAAGCGATCCACCAATGCTATACGTAGACAACAAAGCTACGATCTCCCTGTTCAAAAATCCAATTTTGCACGACCGGAGTAAGCACATAGAAATCAGATTCCACAACATTCGAGAATGTGCAGATCGAGGGCTCATCAAGATTGATTTCATCCGAATAGAGGAACAACTTGGAGACATTTTCACCAAGTCCCTGGCGCGGGTAAAATTTGAAGAACTACGCTCAAAGATCGGAGTTCAAATAATAAGGTAGATATAGCACAACTTTTAGGAGGAGATTGTTAAATAAAAGCTATGTTCCTTATTCAGTTAGGTTGTTTTGACGTCTCAAAACTTCTGAATTCACGCCAATGGAAGAGCGTAATTCTTGCTGCAATTTTTGGCCAACTTGGGCGAAGTCTTCGCCTACTTTTCTATTTTTTGTAATTAGTTTTTCTATTTTGGTAATTTTATTTTTTATTTAAAGAATTCAACTGAAGAGAAATAAAATATCGAGTCTTCATCAAATCTCTCTCCCTCTCTCCTTTTACTTATGCTATTTTTTCTTTCGAAGAAACCTTCGACCAGTTTGTTCGTCGACATTTACCTTCGAATTGCCAAAGTCAACAAAGGTATGGCTTTCAGATTACCAAGAATTGACTCAACTAATTTATGTGAAGGATGCATTTATCGCAAGCAGACTAGGAAGTCCTTTCCTATTCGAAAAGCGAAAAGAGCTTCATATTGTTTAGAACTAATTCACATTGATTTATGTGAGCCAATGCAAACGAAGTTCTTAGGTGGGAGTTTATACTTTTGACTATTCATTGATGATTATAGTAGCATGAGCTAGGTTTACTTTCTACAACATAAGTCAAAAAAATTTCAGAAGTTCCAGATATTTAAAGCTATGGTGGAGAACCAAAGTGGCTATTACATTAAAGTTCTTCGCACAGATAGAGGTGACGAGTTCATATATGAAGAGTTCAATCTATTTTGTGAAGAAGAGGGCATCGAAAGGGAGTTAACAGCTCCCTACACTCCAGAACAAAATGGAATCGCTGAACGAAAAAATTGAACTATTGTGGAGATGGCAAGAAGTATGTTACAAGCAAGGAGATTTCCAAACAAATTTTGGGCAGAAGCTGTAGCAACATCTGTTTATCTATTAAACCTCTCACCAATAAAGGCGGTTATGAATCGAACTTCTTATGAAGCATGGCATGGAAGGAAACCATCTGTAAGTCATTTACGAATGTTTGGTTGTGTTGCTTATGATTTGAAACATTCTCAAACTCGTCAAAATCTTGATGAAAAATCTGAAAAAAGCATTTTCATTGGCTATTGTACTCAATTGAAGGCATATAAATTATACAACCTCTTAGTGAAAAGATTTTAGTTAGGAGGGATGTAATATTTAATGAAAACGTGAGTTGGGATTGAAGTAAAAAACAGGAGCAGCAGAAGATTACAGTTGAGGTTTTTTCAAATGAAGAGACAAGTGTCAACTCCAGTGTATCTCCTAGTGCTTCGACTGCAACACAAAATGTGTCAAATTCATCATTTTCAGCATCACTAAACATCGATTCTTCTCTTGAAGAACTTTCGGATGAGACACCTCGAAGGAAGCATAAATCTTTAGCTGACATATATGCATCATGTCAATTTGCTCTTACTATTTCAGACTCTATGAATTATGAAGAAGCAACTGAAAAAGAAAAACTGAAGAAATCCATGGCAGTAGAGATGCAGTTCGTTAAGAA